AAGGAACAACACAGGGAAAGGCACCGACACACAAGTGTGTCGAGTACCATTTCCCTATGTTGCCCCAAATAGGTAGGGAGTAAAACTCAGCGGGGGGGGGTGGGGGAACCTGCCTCATTGGGGGTGAAGTTGATATCCGATGTATTCTTCAAGAACCGTTTTTTGGCCCGGCGGCCAGTATGTCAGTTGATTCTGTGAGGGTGTCGGTGCCTTCCTGTGAAGTTCCAGTGAGCGGTGGTGCGTTGGGGTGTGTGCTTTCCCATGCAAGAACGGCGCCCCTGTGACGGGGATCACACTCAGCACCCGAGTGGGACGGCTGAGCAGGACACACTTCGAACTTGGATTTTCAGTTAACGCAATCTCCCGAGGAAAGGAATGGCTCAACGGTAAGGTGGAAAGTCAGCGCAATTGTAGATGCTTCAACAAAAAAGTTTTCATACGTGACTGCGGAAAGCGCACAGCGGCAAAACGTCTGCGGTGGGAAAACCTGTTTGGGGGTGGAAGCATGAAGAACCATGAATCAAATCGTGGAAAAGTAGGGTGACAGCTTGTGGAAAAAAAACTCGCCAGGTACACAATGCGGCGTCCCGCATTGCTTCACGACCGATCCATCACTGTCTTCGTTGGGCAGTGAGTGATGGTGGTCCACTGCCCCCCTGCCTATGAGGAAAAGTGTTGGAAGACCCTTTTTCCAGGGTTGGACACACACACACACACATTTACATTTCTACTTGACATCTTCTGTTGCCCCTTCAACGACACATGCAAGCAGCAACACATGTTTCTCTTGGGCCTATGTAGAAGAAAACACAGGTCTTTTCTTCCACGGAAATCCATCTCTTCCGGACATCCCGTTATGAGATTTCAGGCTATGCCCACCCTTATTGGCTCAAATTTAAGATGGTGGTTCAGATGGGGGGTATATCCTGATCTGTTCGCTACATTGCTACATATTCTCTTGTCCTTCCAGCTGATCGGCTTGGAAGGCCCAAATTGGAATCCGTTCAGAACGCCTGGACATCTCGATCACGAGCTGCAGCAACATGGGCCAGCGGCTGCCACCGGAGGCGCGGCAGGCACACAATAGACCATTGTAGGTGACCTGTCAAGCAGCAAACACATAACAGCCTGCATCCCCCACTCCAAAACGAGTTTTCTCTAAATACAAAACAATGCAAGTGAATTCCCTGGTCCAAAGTGTTTCAAACAACATTTGCTATCTGCTTGGGACACTAGAGAGGAACGCACTCTTTGGATATTTTCAGACGGCAATGTTTCAAAGGACTTCCAGCACCAGCAAGGGCCGGCTGGCCCCAAACTTAAAGGACAAAAGGACCAGAGCAATGAAGATCCAAAGAATCTTGTCATTTAGGAGAGCAGTCTTGCTGCATTAGGAGATGTCAGCCTAGAAATTGTGGCTTTAACATGTTCTGAGAACTTTCCTCTGAAGAAAAGGAACGGACCAGCATGACCATTGGCCAGGTTAAGTTTCCCTACAAATCCCGGAACCAAATGAATAGTGCGTGAGCTATCCTGCGTCCTACATAGGATATTTCTTGTAGGTAGTAGCTACCTCTCCCTCCTAGCGGCCTACCGTTCCACTTTCACCGATGATTCGACCGGTGTCGACCGGTGCTGCAACCGGTCGCGAAACGACCAGCGTCGCTTCCCCACCTTATCTGGTCGATCGATCTGCTGCCTAGGGGACAAGCCAAGAACAGTTGGGCTTAAAAGGTGAGCATGGACGATACCACCGTTTGAACAAAATGTCTTATTAGTCTTATTATATATTATTTAAATATGGCTAAACAAGTGATCCTTCTTGAACTGAAGCAATGTGATGTGACCCATTGCACTACCACTCGCCATATGTTTGGCTATACAACTATTAGTACTGGGTGGCAAGTGAGGATGTCCATCCCACCACCTACATGTGACTCAGTCAATCAAGAACCTTAGTCCGTCTCCGCTGGAGGGCTGCTGTTGGTGGACGTTGCGGACAACGACTGAACATGACATTTACCTTCCACCATCTTTCACGGCGAATCATGGGACGAAACGATCCATTCCAACATGAAATGATCCAGTCCGGAGACTCCCTGAATTTATCCACCTGACCGAAACTGATATGCATCTTTTGGCATGCATCAATTACTGGATCGAACAAGATCGAAACTGATGGAGACAGGTAGTGCAGCACCCGAGGGATTATGATCAACTTAACACAAGGCTAACATAGGCCAACCATATTCCAAGAGAAACTCTCTCACCTTGCATTCTTTTGAGTTCGACCCACATCTCCTTGCATTCTTGTAATATTTTTTGGGGTGTGATTGCAGTTGCGCTTTGGTGGGTCTTGTGCCCGCTACTAGTGGGTCTTCTGCCCGCTTCTTCTTGTTGTCTTGATGCGCTGGATGGCGAGGGATGTGCTACTTCGTCTTGGAGGTTACGTCCAATTGATTGGGTAAGGTAAGATTGGCCTGGCCATTGAACAAACGCTGACTGCCGGAACTTCCTGTTGGGAGGCAACGTTCTTCTCAATATGCCTGACTACCTTGCCGAAGGGCTTGGACGTTACGTCCAACTCGCCTATCTCATGAGGTTCTGCAGGTTCAAACGAAGCTGCGACCATTGGCAGTCTGTGCTCTTTCTTGAACAAAGTGCGCCGATCAGCCCAAGAGCATCTACAGTATACTTACCACCGCCGTGCCCCTTGAGCAACACATTCACTGTTATGTTGCTCTAGCGTCACCAAAGTGCCTTCACCAAGGGGCTCCTTGATGTACAGTATGCAATTACAAGGAACCGCTTGTGTATTCCTCTGTGCTCCATTTGCGACCGTCATATTTGTGCTAATCACGCAGTTTGAGGGCGTGGTGAACTATTTCACGGCTCGAGGTTGCCTTGAATCAGTGCCCGTGTCCTAGCAGGATGTGCAAACACATTGCACGCGATGTACTTTTGGTTTCAAGGTCCAGACCACAATAAGAATCACCCATCTTTCTGCATCTTGTTCTCAAAAGGCGCAGTTCTTTAACAGCTTCCAAACTTTCTAGGTGAGCGCACGTAGAAAGGTGCTCAGCTTCTCCAGAATCTTGTGGCTCTCCGAAAGTTGCCACATCAAAATAGAAGTATATACATATATAGTCATATAATTGTATATGATATATATATATATACACATATTATAGCTTGTCACAGCTCCGTGTATTCAACCACCAATCCCCCAACTCTCCTCGAAAAGATGCTCCAACTGTTTGATGTAACAGCCAGGGAACCCCAGGAGTAAAGCTTCTTGCCAGCGCAGTGCCTGAGACAGGGCACCCGGTCGGTCCGTGCAGGTGCCTCTGTCCAGGTGCCTCGGCAACTGACCCGTCTCGGCAAAAGTGGCCTGCAAGAGCTAAGCACAAAGGAATTCTTTCGGAAGGGTGGTGTAAGAGTGTTCTTTGTTTTTCCTCATCATTGCTATGCGCCAATCCCATCACAGCCCAATGGTTTACTAGCTCAAACCTCAACTGATTCCATCACTGCTAGGCTCCTAGGTATAGCACTTTGCAGTCGTGGAGAATGCCCCTCTGCATGCCCCTCCATATTGATGCAAAACTCATCGGGAGCATTCAAGGCGCCAACCATGAGTGTCCTCTCACATACATTTCTTGAACTGAAGGCAAAACGGTTTCCCCAGTGGAGCATATCTCAAATGACACAGTCAGTGTTTCCCAAGTAATTAAAGAACAAATATGGTCAAGGCTGCAAACTCTCAGACTCAAACGATCATCAGTGATTCGTGCTTCCAACTTTCAGCATGCACCCCCTTACAAAAGGGGGACCCTCTAATCTTTGCCATGTTGGGATACATAATTGAAGAATTCTGCGTTTGAACCGACATACATTAAAAAGCCATCGGGGTGCAATCGTGCTGCAACAAATCTGGCTTTCAGAGTAATTAACAGAACTTGGTATCGCTAATACAAAAAATAACACCCCATGACAACTATGCTGAGGGTCCACGATGGTTGTGGACCTTCATCTCATTCGGATACGTATATAGATGGCGTATAGTATAGGTGTCAAATCCTTTTCAGTATGGTGACCGTCTTCTGGTTGCAAGACAATTTTACAAGAACCGCTCTGGTCCCAACGTCTTGCGGGGACACGTGTCGTGGCCGGCCTTTGCACACGCGCTGACACAGGCATTGCTGATATTCAGCAAGGCACCTGCGCCACGGTTCGGTCAAACGGGAAATCGTCTGGGGACATCAATGACATGGTCGTGAACATCATGAACCGTTGGCCTGCAGTGCAGTAGCGCATCCGTCACTCTTCACCCATGTTTCATCGCTTGAAACATCATGCAACTCAAACGTGCTACTCCCAATGTCAAGTAGACAGGTGGTGCCCAAACCACTGGCAAAGTAGCTGGGATCCTTTCATAAAATAGTTAAACCTTGCATTGTATCACTTGGAGCGATTGCTGCAAGCAACAACGGTTGAAGACCATGACAAATCAAACAAACAAATGCAAAACAAATCAATAGCTTCAACATGGTTCAACTCCCATTACCCCGACATAGAAACCTGGCTTCCACCATGTTGCAATCCTCTTTCACCTGATTTCTCGAAGTCCACAAACATTAGTAGACAAAAATTGATCCGACTCACACGTATATGCCCTGCTTAGGCTTAATAGGATGTTCGTGTATAACAAATTCCACTTGTGTACGAGTTCAATGATTTTTTTTGCGCTGAGACAAGGGAGTCATCCACATCCCAGAGCAAAAATCCGATGAGAACCTGGAAGAAGGGATATGTGACTGGGTGTTATAGGACCAAGTATGGCAACTATATATATAACATGAATGTCTAGTTGAACTGCCTTCTCTTCCCCGTCATCAGCACTTACAGCCCGGCCTTTCTGCTTTTCTACTGGGATTGTCCTCTGCAAGAAGCGTGCTTGGTTCTTTGCGCTTCCAACTGCTGTATAGAAACCAAAGCAAATGGACGTAGAACTCGCAAAAGCACATCATGTCGATGGCACTCTATTTCAGGAAGTCTATATATATATATATCATATATCTCACTAGGAGCCAAATGTACACAGAGAGACCCCGACCCCAAATCCCACACTATACACTATATTGACGGCAACAGGAACTCAGGAACCGTTGGTTTGCAAAGAATATATACTTGTGACTCGGACTAGGACTGACTAGAGTCCACTAGGCTTGGGTGGTGTCACCAAATCACTGGAAATTTCTGGAGACTCCCACAAACCAGAAGTGTCCCTACATGTCCCAACCCTACCACCAGAATCATCAAAACCGCAACAAGGTGCGGGGAATCTTCGACACCACGCGGCTCTTCGTTGTGGCCAGGCTTGTGACTCTCATCGCCGTACTCCCTCGATGTCAAATCAAAGGTTCAATTCTGCTCTTCCACTTACTTCTTCTTCTTTTTCTTCAACACACAGCCTCCTGGTTTAACTACTAACTGAGTGCGACATCAGCCTTACTAGCCGTACTGGTCGCACCCCTCACCGCTCCGCAGGCCCCCACGTCCTCTTCAACTGCGAGAAGACCCAAAGAGCCCAGCCTTGGTGCTGCGGCGCGGTTTAAGAACATTGGGAGAAGGATCTGACGAGATCAAAAAGTAAACTTGCCTAAACTTCACTAGGGAGAGGCAAAGTTCAGAGCTTGGTTGAGCAAGCATTGGCCTGAAATTCAATGAGGTAGCGGGGGCACATGGCAGTTGTGTTTCAATGATTCTCTAGCTGAAGGGGCTTGGAGGATTCGTGTAGTTGTTGGCCACAGCCATCAACCCACTGAGAAGGTGGCTGACCGTGTGCCTTTTCAACCTGGGTAGTAGCCAGTCCTACCTTTATCTGAACAATGCCAACCCACATCCTGAAGACTTGCAAGAGCAAGAAAACAACTAGACTATTACTCTGTCTTTTAGAACCACTCAAGCGTCACTCAAGCTCCAAAAGAAACTACATGTTTTTCACACCAGTTCCCGATTGAAATCAATTGCCAAGTCTTGAATGCGCTTCGAATGGGACCAGCAAAAAAAGGTTGATCTATGAACGATCTGTTGATCTGAGATGATTTTCAAATCAATTCCTAGGTCTTGATCGCAGACTGAACTCCAGCTTTGACACTGAAAAGGGACGTTTCAGTACGCGGAAGGAACGTCAGTACCCTCTGTAAAAGGATTTCATACAAAGAGTGGTGAATATAGGGTCGGTCTTGGCCTTCAAACAACAGCCCGCAGACCACAATCGAGATAGACCCATTGAAACGCAGAAAGTGGCAAACGTCGACCAACACCCGGAGTCGATTTGTTCATGTGTCCCCTTTCCCCTCTAGATCCTCTAGTAACAAGGGCATCGCTACTAGTAACAAGAAGCTACTAGGGTCAATTCCTAACCATAACGCCTGGGTTCCTCCAAACCCAAAATCGCTCGGTTGACCCACGCTCGCTGTGACTCCCCCGCTCCACTGCGCACGTTTCTCGCAGGCGCTCGCCTGGACCGGGATAGTTCGACAGTTCCCGGTCCAGCTCTGAGCATTTGGGTAGTACATGCTATAATGCTCATGTGTTCTGCATGTGATTGGCATTTAGAAGAGTCAATTTGGTTGATTGGCTTGCAGCCAGTAGTATATATGCATGTGCATAAAACATATGCAACATTGCAGTTTGTACGCCTCGCCTGCACATGAGTCACGTGAGTGTATGTCAAAAGATATCAAAAGGAATCCCCCAAAAAATCAAGTTACCCTTGATTGAATATTATCTAAGAATATTAGGTATCCCGATCTACTTACCATATATAAATATCTCAAAATCAGCAGACTGTATAAAACCCAGGGTATGCTGAGCTGCTACTGATCCAATTGATTGGTGTGGTTAGCAGCGATTGTGTGTCAAAGCACCCACCCCTTTCTGCAGCAACGCGGCTTTCCTGAGAGACACGGAAACCGTCTTGACCCACATAACCATTTTGACCCACATACAGGCTTGTAATTGGCACCCTCGTCCACAAATGAGCGAAACATGGTCTCAGCGGGGTATCCACCTTTCTGTAGGGTTCAACCGTATAGCCACACCCACATCATCCACATCACTGTCGCAAACGCCAACATCTGGGTGAGCGCGCTGTGGCATTGAAACTCACCACGTCGGGCGGGACTTGCTGGAGACCTCGCCAGTCACGTCTGCCATATCCAAAGGAGGTCTGAACCCTCAAAAGCCACACCACGTATTTCAACTTGTACCGAACCAATGGAGCTCTGGTGTAGATATGACACGATCGCTCTGTATTTTCACACAATTCTTACAGTATGTCTTCTCACCCTCACACATGTTCAATAACTTAGTAGACCAAGTGTTGCCTCACGAGAACACTGTGTTGACTGTGCGAGTTGTTGTGCCATGAGTGCTAAGGATTGCGTTGGGCACAGATTCTCCTAAGCCCTCCTCAATTGCATATCATCATCTAAAGTGCAGTTCTCTGTCTCCCCATCTTACTTGCCACAAAAACGGTCGGGTCCTGGTGCAAGCTGTGAAATACACCAAGAATGGCTTCGCCCTGTATTTGTTCCCCACTCAGTTTTCCCCCACTCAGTCACTCAGCTTCTTGCGGGGCCCGTAGCTCAGTTATCCCTCTCCCCGGAACTCCCACGGCGAGCGGCTCATCATCTCCAAGAGTTCAATGGCAAATTCCCAGCGCTGGGCCTTGGCATCAGGCCAGGCTGTGGCGAAAAAGAACACCTGTGGAGCCCAGCTGAGTGAGTCAAACTGCCTCAAAAACGCCAACTTCGCAAGTGGAGAATGTCCGACCACCTGAACTTCACCCTGCGGAGAAACTTGTTTTAACTTTCCACTGGCAGAAAATGGAGCTGCTCCCTCGTTCCTTCTGGCAGAAATCGGGTACATTTCGTTTGGGCCACGAGGTTTCACTGAACTCCACATGCGAACCTGAGCTAGGCTTCAAACCAGTTCATTACCGAAGTTAGATTTCCGGTCGTTTAGTCGATGATTAAATGAGAACTGGCGGCATCGGCTTCCGCAGCTACAGTAGATCACTTCACGTTTTTGGAAGTTTCAAGAAAATTCCCATGCCCTCTCTTCAAACGAGATCAAACAAGCATTTTTCGGGGGGCAACACCCGGCTCCCCAGTCGAGCCGGGTCCATGACACTCTCCCGATTCCGGGGTAGTTGGAATTCATTGGAAACGCACCCGTCGGCCCTGATCTTTATGGCCTGCTTTGTCTGTTTCTTCACATTTCATCTGATCAGGCAATTTTTCTGAGCGTGCTACTGAGCATGCTATAAAGATCAGGTCAAAACTGAGTGCCAACTTCTTCCCTTTTGAGACGCCAGGCCTTTTCGCAAGAGCTGATCGTGGCATTAAAGGCCACCAAGTCCTCAGCACATCAGGGCTTAGCTCATGCACAATGGCTCTGCTATGTCCGGCGGTGAATTGTTCTCCCTACTGCAGCTGCACTGGAGTCCACTAATTACTGTCCGGTCGACACGCTGGTACAACCCTGTCTCCACAGACTTTACTTGCTGGAGTTCCACAAAGTAAAACGTCAAAGAAAATTACCAGAAAGGAGCGCTCTCAGCGGTGCGTTCTTGAATATTCTTCAATCATCAACTTTTTGCCAGTGTCCCCTCAGATTAGTTCAACAGCACAGGCAGTTCTAGATCAAAAACTGGCACTCCGCGCACGCAACTTGACACACTGAGCTGCGCACAGGTTGCAAAGCCGAGGACCAAATATCCTCGAGCAAGGCCCATGCGCCCTGTCGGGCACCAGGGTGTTCAATCAAGTCAAAGAGTGGACGGATGGTGTTCGCGCAAGAAGGTCATTTCTGCAGAGAGCTGCAACAACCTCGCTAGCCGCTAGACTCCGCTAGACTCGCCCCGGGACGCAAAGAGCGCGAGCCTCTGAGCATACGGAGCTCTATCCTCCCCAAAGGACCGGGTTCATAAATCCGATCTCTCCAGTGTGATGGATACATATGCGAGATGAGACCATAGGTGAAGCAGTGGTATGGAGCGTCCAATAACCCAAAGAAGGTTGGGGAGTTTGTTGGAGTGATGACACTCTCTGATTGGACGCTGGAGAAAACAAGTCAGTCGATAGAAATAAATGTCCATGATATGCATACCTTTCTCAGATCCTCTGACAGTCACTCTTGTTGCTTTGTTTGCAAACTGGTCACACTGCTGAACATACCTAACTTCAAGGGTCTTGTGCCAAGCCAGCCAAGTTCTGAGAAGTTTGTCCGAGGGTCGTGTCGGTATACAATGGTATACATATATATATATATATGTATACAATAGATGTAATAGTGAGAGATCGTCTTCAGCCTCAACTGAAGACTCATCTATAACCACCACTCAATATGAGCATCGGCAACCGGCTAAAAGCTCTTGGTTCTCGTCGTCGAAGTTCCATCGAACAAACAACATATAGACGGTCTGTCATCTCTGTGTTGGTACCATTGCTTCAATATGCTTCAATTATCTTGAGGACTTGGGATACTTGGATGTTTAAGGATGAAGGAAGACTCGTTAAATAGACTTATATAAGACCTCCTAGCAAAAAGGCCAAGAGCAAAGCTCCACCTGCACTTCCATCCCCAATACCGCGTCTTTTCCTTCTCACAACCGGATCTCATCTGCTCTGTCACCCGCCTGCCAATTGGAGCCTTTCCGGCATGCCTGCCCGAGTTCTCACCCGGGCGGAAGGATTAAAGCGCCCGGGACCTCTGTTTGTTTGACCTTCCCGCCGTTTTTCAAACAAAACACTGGTAATAACTCAATCAATCTCACCAAGTCACCAAGCAGGAAACCAATGGTACTGTTTGTGTCCGGCTGTGAACCTATTCATGAACAGTCCCTAACCTGCTTATGTTTGGAGGTAGCCCCCCGTCAAGCAATATCAATGTGCCGCAAGCTTTCATTGAAACCATTCCCCTCCATCTCTGTTCGTTTGACAGCAGAACAACACCAGGTGTTGCAAAGAACATGTCAATGTCAACAGGTCTACTGACTACTGCATGGTATAGTATGTTTTTGTTGCTAGTATGTATCTAGAAAGAGATCAATGGTGTTTCCAGGTTACATTACCCAAATCCCAGGCATACTCTCAGCAAGCCGCTAGCAAACAATCAGGGAAATAGATCATGCACGGAATGTATGCGTCAAGTGGGGATCCGTAAAGACTTGCCAAGGAGTATTTCACCAGGTTTCCACAATAGAAGTCACAAACCCGGAACATCATGAATGCTCCCATGTCCCAGGAACATCCGTTTTCTCAGCCGATTCAGCCGAGTCCCTTCCGCATCCCTCTTCTTGACTCGCAGTGAAGCGCCCGGCTTTTGGCCCAGCCCGTGTTTTCCCTGGCAACCAGGCACCCGCACACTAATCGCAGCACCGAAACCTGCAGACTCACGGTCAAGCTCGGTGAAACCGGTGACCGATATGCACCTCGTGATGGTTGAGGTTGCAGCAATCGGGTGGCTTTAAGTCTCACATAGTCTAATTAAAATTCTTAATGTAGACTGGTGATTAATAACCACTTAGCACTTCAAGTGACTTGGGCTTCGTCGCAGGTCTTGGAAGGTGTTCCTGGTGAACTCATTACCGAAGAACTCGTGCAGACCTTTTAGGTAACAGAGCAACAAATAAAGCTGCGAAGCAAGCAGCTCATGCCTGTGCACCTATACCCCAAGGTTTATGAAGAGCTCCAAAAAGCCGTGCTTGAGCGCCAAGAATGGCTCACGAAACTAATAGTATGCAGCCGTTTGCAGAACCATGTGATGAAGAGCGGGATGAGATGCACTATAGTGCACTACTCCCCACAGCAACTTTTCCCTGCTCTGCCTTGGGACTCCAAACCCGAAGCGTTCCCATGGAAGTGTGCAGCCGCTTGGCCTAAAGTTCTTCCACGGAAGTTGCAATTTTCAGACGAGGACTGGAGTAATTTTGTTTTTTTTGTTTATCAGCTTGGTTGGCAGCAAGCCACTCATTTGCAAATTTCGCTTGCGGAGCTTGCCGTTCTTTTTGCCATCCGTGGCTTCAAGTGCCATGTGTTGTCTGATGAACATTGCACCTTTAAAAGTCTCATCAGGAGGCTGCAGGGCTGTCTTGCGTTTTCTAGGAGAATTCTATGAACTTCATCCGGGGCAACACGTTCCCCGCAAACACAACTCATGGGGAAAGACCATGCCCTCCAGGGTGATCCGGGGTGGCTCAAATTCTGAGCTTGAGAAACTGACAGTGATTGCCCTAAGGGTCACTGGTCAGTGTCTTTCTGGCTGGGAGTTCGCGGTTGCTCCGTTCTGTCCATAGCTGATGTCCTTTTTGGTTGTCATTCGTGGGGCCGATGTTTCCTTTGCCACCCAGTGGAATGTTGGCGGCACTGTGCAGATCAACTGACCATCCCGTGCGAGAGTGGTAGAAGAGGTTTTTCAATTCAATGGGGGGAGTTACTCATCAGGAGTCTACCTTTTCTCGACCGGACGGATCGATCCTGAATGTTGACACCAAGGCGCCACGAAGGTTTTACCACCAAAAAGGCCAATCGACCGGTCGGTGGCGCCGACATGTCAGCACCTCTCTCCAACCAACATGGACGACAACCGGATCTTGGAAGAAGCCTGCTCCTCTTTCATTCAACAAACTTACACCTGCATCGTTGGAACGAGTGTCAGCTGGATTCAGCTGGACATGTTGCACAACCACTCGCTGGGATCCACCCATCATTCCGTGCGCCTGCGAGACCATGATAAAACGCTTCGATTCACAGATCACAAACCGATGAAGTAGCGAAATCAGTGATGTTATTCCTACTTGTCTTCCTATACGTCAGGCTGTTGTCAGGTTACAAGCAGCTCCTAATTTATGGTTCATGATGAATCAACAAATCCATAGGACCATAGGATCAAAGATAAAAAACATCCAAATAATCAGACATGGAAAGAACTTCAACAGGAAAAAACCTTCTGCACTGCAAAGAACCAGTAAAAAGGAATGCATGGGAACTTTGCCTGAAATGCAATCCTTCCCTCTGCACCGAATCTGGGGACAGGCACCGCAAGATCGACTGGTGCAGCCAGGTAACAGAACAAGTTCAGTGGAAGGTCCAGTGAGGAACCTGCGTGGGATTCCAAGCGATCCAAGAGAACGATTACAACACATAACTATGACCTGCACCCTTTCCGGGACATGCACCCTTTCATCCCGTGAAACCCATGTGATTGTGGTTCATTGCCGCGTTTGTTTGTTTTCCAAACACTTCACACATAAGAAAATATTACGCAACTGTAGACTGTATATCAAAACATGTCATGCGTGATTTTTTCTCTGATCTTTAGTCTAAGAGAACGAATCTATTGTTTCAAGAACATGTGAAACGTACTTGAATCACATTTTGGAAGTGCAGAAACTGAAAATAACATTTTGAAACATCACTTAACCTGCTATGCCGTCCATTGCGGATGCCCATGTCTCCTCTTGGGAGAGTCCCCAAACTAACTGAAGAACCCAAACATGTGGATCCAGTAATCAGCCGGCTATCATGTGCAGAACGCTGCGGGAGTCTGCAATTCAGCTACCTCCGCAACACAAGGTCATATCAGCTTAAGAATGCAGTTTGTTGAAGTGCATCATAAGTGCATCAGAATATAAGTGCATCAGAATGGGGAGACCTCAGCCAGTCCCCATGAAAAAGGAAAACCAAATTAAAAACAGAACCAGTTGGTCTCATACTTTTCGAACTACACACCCAATATCACCTTTCCAGTCACCGATTTTTGCAACAGTTTCACGGCTGGGCGTCCCCGCGCATCCAGTCTAACAACTCGATACCAATCTGGCATTGAATCAGAGCTGCTGGAGGAACCACCAGCGATTGAGGGTGGCTTTACCAACCAAACCCTTTTGGAACATAAAAACATCCAAGCCAAAATGCTGCTGATTCCGTGAATTGGAATGCCTAGTACATCCATTCCGAATTCCTGTGAGCAAAACAAATATAAATATATATATATATATGTTCAAAAAGGCTTCCACAATAAACTAAGACAACAACCGATCAAACCAACCAACTAAACAAGTATGATTCAATCTTCTTGAGTGAGGCATAGAAGCACTTGACCAGCCGTCTTGCTGTACGACATGTTTTGATGAGATTGTACACCACATTTTTGCGGCACACTGGACTGCTGCACCAGGCACACTTCTGGAAAAAAACATGACTTTACTTTGAGTGATCCCCACCCTGAGAGGCGACTTGGAAGAAGGGAGGGCACATCTATTGACAGACTAGCGTGAGAAAGGCGGCCTGACATGTGGATTGACACAATGTTCTGGCATCAATCTGACACATCATCTATCATAAAGGTTGGGAAATGTTCTGGACTGTGTTCTGACGTCCTTGTCAACATGTGTTCTGACATTCTATTCGGCATATATTCTGGCAACACATCTGACATCCTATATGGCATATGGGAGGAGGACGAGGAGGAGGACCGGGACAGCTCTGAAAAGGCTAACAACCCTCACCTGGCAGGTGGGGAATCACAACATGTCACAACCACCTAATGTGTCTGGACTGCCATGAAATCGAACTGGCCAAGTGAAACAAATCAATTGGAGGTTTCCATCAACGAATGAAACCTGGAAAGCGTGTTAAAAACGGTGTTATTTAAACATACGTATGTCGAGTAAGACTTTTATACAGAGTTTCTTGTTTTACCCTGCGAGCACGGTTCTGGTCCGCAACTAACCAAACATGACCAAACCAATTAGTGGGAGATGTTCAACCCTGTTCCACCTCCCGGAAAACAACATGCAAAACAAAACATACAATCAACTTAGCATGTTCAAGAGCTGAATCCAAAACCACTCACCGCCCCTTCATCCACCGCTCTGATCACGCTTGCACGCCTCCCAGCGCGGGCCCTTCTCACAGGCACTGAGCACGCTAGCACAAAACACCACCTGGAGTGCTGCAAGGTGCGGTACGAACGGGGCTTGTATACCAGGCCCTGCAGGCAGATGCATGTGCTACAGTCACATAGATCAGTGGATACTGCGGCCATGAGATATACAGTATTTGGAGCCTCCTAACTTGCCTTAGCACCCAAGAAGGGCACCGTGGGTCCGGAGTCCTGCACCATACTTATCAACCCCCTTTCCCCTCTAGTCAAGTCACATCATTCCTCACAAATCCACGACTAGAGGCTCTTACTAACCTGAGCAGTTCTTCTTGCCTTCCCTGCAAAGTTCTTTTCACATCATCGCATCGACCCGGATGGTCCCCACTGCGGGTCGGTCTCCGTCCGGGCCGCTGCGGGCGCGGCAGAGCCGCGGAATCGGGGGCTCCGGCATCGAACTCGAGGCTCCGCTGCTGGAAGCTCCGCAGCAACTCCAAGGGCAGCTGCCAGCCGTCGGGAGCTCCTCACCGCCGGCGAAGGGAGGTCGGTGTTGGGTGATGACTTGGCCTGAGATAGACCCGCAATGAAAGGGCTTAAGTACGTTGTAGTTGATTGTCAGGGGGTAGAACCACCAATGTGTGAAAATACTTCATGTGGCTTGGAATTACACGCTCCAGGGTCCAATGAACTTTCATCTGGTTTGTACACCTTTTGTTCGTCCCGCAATTTTTGGGAGATGTGATTCACAAATACACCCGTTCAGATCTCAGTTCGCAGTGTGCACGTGGACTATATACAAAAAATGTATAGTTTCACTGACATTTCATTGACGACCTAAGCTTTAGGTCCATGCCATGTCACAGTATTCTCCTCATCTGAGCTACCCAGAATATTCGGATGATCAAGCCCAAGAGTTTACTTTGACATACTGTGGCTTCAATCTCTCCACCGGCCTAAACCCTCATAGCGATGGGCCACACCCTACTAGCGATGTCCTTGTTCTGTAAACTCTCGGGTTTGAGGTGATGTCATCGACCTTCTAGGCCTTACCTCATCACCTCATACCATACATCGATGTGGACCATACCATACCTCATCACCTCAACCAGGCCCTAGGCCTTCGGCCCGGTACGCCGGCGTCGCTCTCCTCGTGCCAGGGCACTACAGGCCGCCGAGAATGTAACGACATCGGCGCCTGAGGAAGGAAACGAGGCACGCAGTGGCTGGCCGAGATGAGGATGGTGATGGCACGGGCTTTGGCAGAATACAAACCCCTTGCATCAAGGATCCAACAAACACTTATAAGTGATGTCTCACTGGACGACGTGAGCATGGTTTGCCCAAGTATCTTGTAATTGATTGATTATCTGAGGTGGCGTTCATGCGAGAATACAGAACAGTTTGTTCCCTTGTGCCTGAGAAGCCTGATAAGGTGTCTTTGGCATCCTCAAACACTTCCCACTGAGAAAAGGTCGCACTTCCGTTAGTGGAAAACTGGTGTGTGACCTGTAGCCTGTATATGAAACCTTTTCTGTGTAGGTATCATCTATACAACCGACGTCATGCTTGGGTCAAGTTCTTTCGGAACCTACCCAACCATGAAAGGTGAACTCCTCTTCTCTTCAACCAAGAAAGCTGCCCCTTGACACCCTAATCAAACTCAAGGTGTTCATTGACCTCCCCTTCTGACAAGCCCGTCACCAGCCGGTCACCTGAACTCCTGCACGCCAGCCGGCCTGCAGCGTGCAGTAAGGAGACGGCCTCATAGTCGAAACCCACGAGGTGATGTCTTGCAGAAGTGTCTTGGGTCTTGTGAGGTGTTTGGAGGGGGAGGTTCATAGAGCTAGAGCTTTGAACAGACACCAACTTGAGGCCAAAGGCTACTGCCAAAACTCCTTATCAATCAAAAAGGGAGTGCGACTCCGGTCTTTGGCCACCAACCCACTACTGGCCATGGGAGGTGGTACGGTGTGCCGTTGTGAGAAATCCTTCAGGAATCTAGCAGGCAGTCCACATTGGCTGAACGGTGAATATGAACTCAGTGGCGTCACAAAGGCGCTTGCACTAGATCGTTCCCTTTTCTACAAGAAACAACGCATAAAGTCTATACTGCCTGATCTGCCATGGCCATGACTACAATTTCATATCATTCTGGTCAATAGGTGGTGGTGGTGGTGGAGGAAGGAGAGCCAACGACAAGGTACCACAACAATGCATAATTATAGGACGTGCAAGTCATAGTTGTGCCTGAGCCGCAAGTCAAACAAAAAACCAAGGAAACAGCTAAATTGCAAGTATGAGCGAATGTCAGTAGGGTTGTCAATGTGTCTCGATTGATACCTGACTATAAGGATTTAGGATAGTGGAGGTAGTGGAGCAAACTGGCCCAAATCCACAAAGACTAATTAGTCCAAATCAACTCCAGCTCGCAGCAGTGCTCCACGTCAACCATGTCAAAATCATATCGTCTGAGTCGACCTTATTCAGCTTTTCTACCTGAGAAAAACACAAACAACAAGAAAACACACAATTCTTATTCAGCAACTAGAGATGCAAAAGTGATACGAAGTCCGCTGCCTTCTGCCACTGAGAACCCTTCTCGAATGCTGTGGCCTCGGTATCCCCAACCGACGAGTTCGGTGTCCGAACACGTTTGACACTGCGGGTGATTGGACACATCCGGCTGAGAAGAAAATTGCATGTCAAGTATCCAGTATCCATCAGAATATTTGTATTTTTAAGATATCTGTGGTCCAAATCATGGTAAATACTCAGATTGGGTAATTACCTTGGCCAAATCTTTGCCTCATGAGCCCACCATTTGTCCCTCCGACATGAACCCCCAAAAGCCGGACCCAACCTGCACTTCCACCCACATCTGCGATCCCTCTTTTTACAGTCATCCACGCATCTTGACCAACACCACTGAGCTGCCAGTCCATGGGAAGTTGGAAGGTGGGCACCAATTCGTGGCCGCGTAGCGAATCGCGCAGCCCCAAAAGCTGTTCCCTCGACACTCATAGTCTACAGTCTACACCACGTCTAGACCTCGAAACTGCTTTTTCCCGGCTGTTGCCATAAAGCAATCTAGAAAATGACACTGAAATTCTGATTATAAGCGTTTTGTGGATTGGTTCCATCGCCTAAGCTAGTTGTGCTCAAGAAGGGTAACATAGAACTGCTCAACACAGGAGCTTCCGTGAGATTCCTGTACATAGTGCTTTGCTGGGGCAACATTTGTGGGTAAAAATATCTGTCTCTTTCTCCCCTTTGCTGCACTGCTCACAAACTACGCAAAATATGCTGTTTCAAGAATCTGCACTGCACAATTGTTGACCCTTACAGTACAGGAGACGTAAACAGCATACATGCCAGTTTGGGGTTAATATCTGACTTCAGAAAGCAACAACTATGTTGAGCAAAACAAACCTCACAATTCACCAACAAGAAACAGCAAGCACCTACTTTCTTTATGCAGGTCATGCGCTCCAGTAGCCTTCCAGTTGTTTGCTATTATATTGAAAAGTCCCCTCCGGGCCTAGGGTCACAGGGAGCTATAGGCAAAAGGGATTCTCGCGATATTGTATATATATATATATAAATTTAACGCACATGAGGCGGCACTGCCTAGGAATTCCCTAACAAGCATTCCAAAGAGGTTGTTGCTGTGCTGTTCCTCTCCTATTAACACACATGTCTTGGATTCTATGCATGCCGCTTCCAACGTTCCTCTGTACATCGCGCAAATGACACCGACCATGAAAGCCGCCCGGAAGCACCCATCATGAGCGGTCCTGCTCCGATCGACGAGTCCTTTCACGTACTAAGAGATGAAGAGCTGGATTGTGTATGCCCTTGTTACTAGTAGCGATGCACCTTGTTGCTAGTAGCTTCTTGTTACTAGTTACTTTCAGTTTGGGGTACTGGGTTCATCCGGGTGCACAGGCATGCGATTCTGGGTGAGTTCCTCCAAAACTTTTGCTGGTTCTCCTCTATCTGACAATCCAGCCCACGAATGAAATAATGGAGAATCACTCTGTTCCCTGGCCGGAAAAAAGATGTTGAGTAGGTGTTCAACGCCCAAAGATTGAGACATGATCCGAATTCCACGTTCTCTCAAAATATATGATATTGGCTGATGCGTTTGCAAGTGTACTTTAGTGAGAACCCCCCTCCTTATAGGTTTATGTCCATTGAATCATATCCCTCTGCAACTGTTGGCCAAGAATAATCGTCTTCGAAGTCAATCCTTGAGACACACAACATAGTAATCTATTGCATCTGACTTTCATTACACTTTCCAACTCAATCTCCTTTCTCATATGAGTGATTCTGTGTGATCCACAATGTGCCACCCAAATGAGAAGAACTCCCACTTCACTAGCCCACCCCATCTGTAGATACCATGTAGTTGACCTACGGTTCCCCGACCGATCATGAACACTCACGACGGCAGGTCACCCATCGACACGGTCAGGTGGCGGCGGCGACGAACAAACGAACATCCTGGAAGGATGTCTGCAGGACGTTCAGTGCACGGTCCAAGCGTTGGAATCCATCACGAAGTTCTCCTGACAAAACAGCACTGACATGCACTAACGTCGACTCCCACAATGTTTGAATGTTCACAATGAACTCTTCTTAAACGAATAGGGGTTTGAGATGTCACCCCTGGTCCAGGTGATGTTCAAGCGCTGGGCAATCAATAAAGACCTGAAAAAATGTCGATCATGTCGGTGGTGTAGCATGCTGAGTTGTGAGTCGTGAGTCGTGAGCTATGATTTGGTGGTATATGGACAATCAAGCATGTAGCTCGCTTGGGATAGGGCCCTCATTGCCTTCCCCTGGTGGTACCATGGTGATATCAATATCAACCATGAAGACACAGAAGTTTTGATGAGCGGTCATGTGAGGACTGTGTCATGCCCCTCCCACACAAGATCTGGGCTAAGTGCGTATGAATCATGAAGCTTGAACGGCAACAATTTCTGGTGATTCTGAATCGTCTTGCCTAATGAGCCTGCTCACAAGTAATATTATATTAGTTGCAAAGCACATTGCAATCGCAAGGACACCAAACCAGCAATGAACGACACCAAATAAAGTCCGATCACCACACAACTTGGAACTGGTGATCAATTATCAACAAACTTAAGCCTGAATATTGCTAATATAATATATATATAGAGAGAGAGAGACTGATTTCTATGATTGTGTCTCAATACAAACAGCATCAGGAACACTCATGGGCTAACTGAACACGGGGTCCCTCATGTTGTTGGACAAACCCAGCTGAACGCTCCGGAGCGTTCAAAAGAGCGGCCTTCACTGATGATGAGTGGAGGTGCACAATGCACTTGGGGTGGTCGAAGGAAACCAATCCTCAGCAACATCGCTCAGTCACACGATGGAGGCAAGAACATGTGGGTGGTCTTGGTTGTTACTGTTTGTGTTGATTGTTTGCCAAGGATGGCTCAAAATATAAAATGAGTGCCTCAATGAAGGCCACCTTGCCGAGGATGGTGTGTGCTTGTAATGACTGTCGAGACAGTCGCTCGAAAGCACGCCCAGCACACAAGATTTGTCTGCTGGCCTGCGAAGGGAGATCCGTAACATCGTCTAGCTAAACAGTGTTTTGATTTCTAAGAAGAATGCCTGAGACAAAATGGTGATCTGCTGTACTTAGGTTGTCTTTTGTCCTATAGGCCTATAGCATCCTATAGCTATCTGTGTCGCCTTTTGTCCTTTATATAGGCTTGAGAGCGGGTGGTCATGGGGCCTGGGTGTTGGTTTTCCCCAAAATTTTAGGTAAATGCTTCAGTGGCAGCCCCTCTCCATATAAACACACATATCTATTCTTGCTCTCACTCTATATGAACAAATATATTATGTATTCCTGAGTCAGGATATTTTTATTTTTTTGGAAGCAGCAATCAGTCATTCAGATGGTTTTGAACAAGCTAATTAGAAAAGAAGCAGGCCATAAAAGTGGTCGTTTTAACAATTGTCCTCTAGATCTCTGCTTATAATTATGTTTAGATTTGGAAAGATTGTATATAGACGCTTTTATGTTATAAAAGATTCTCTATAGATCTCTGCAGATAATCATGTTTAGATTTAAACAACTATATAGAAACCTTGTATGTTAAAAGCTTTCTTCTAGATTTCTGCGGGCAAGAGCTTGCATTTTCAAAGCTTTCCTCAGGATCTCTGGAAACGTAGATATCCCATATATATATATATGTGTTTTCATGAAAGGAAAGCTCTTGAAAGAAAGACTTATTTATTGATATATAGCATGTTTAAATTGACATGACCATTTCCAGAGATCCAGAGGAAAGCTTTTGAAATGAAAGCTTATATAAAGTTTTATTGTAGAAATGATCATCCCCAGAGATCTAGAGGGAAGCTCTTGAATTAGAAGCCTGTACATAAAACATGTTTAATATGTATATATTATCTCCAGTGATTACTGACAATAAATAAATCTAACTATTTACTCCAAAAAAGAGTTTTAGTCTTGTTCCCAGCACTTCCAGGGCAAAAAATAATGTAAAACACGGGGTTTTGTAGCATGTGTTTTCTTAAACTAAATAGACTAGAGCTAGAATAGAATTAGGTAGAATTAAATTGGATTTGAGTTAGAGCTAAGATAGAACTGAATTAAAACCGAATTTTAACTAAACTTGTATTGAACTATAACTATAGCCTAATTGAAATTAGATGAGAGTTGAATTAGAAAGGAATTGACATTAAAATTAGAAGTCCGCCAGAATAAGATGTAAACGCTTGAGCTACAAGCACAGAATTACGCTCGCAAAGATTTCCAACCGTTTCATGTAAAGGACAGAGTGTCCTCGCAACTGCATGTCAAGCTGTTTGGAAATGCAAATGGCAACCGCATTGGTACCAGTCAGCAGTTAATGCACTCAGACTTGTATATGGAGATTTGGACAAGGACAAAGGAAGCGTTGAGCTCAGACGGTTTCAGATATAAGCAAAAAGAACAGATGCCTTGAGGTGAGAAGTAAGCTCAGATGCTAAACCAAAAAACCTTGAGAAAACAAAAAACAAAAAACACAATTCTGAGAGACTCTTGCTTGGACCCCCCAAAATCAGAAGAATCAGAAAACCAAAAAAACCTTGGGAAAACCAACCAAAAAAAAAACAATTCTCAGAGACTCTTGGCTGGACCCCCTTTTCCTAAAGACTTCCCCAGAATTGTGTTTTTTTTTGTGTTTTTTTGGTTTTCCCAAGGTTTTTCTGTTTTTTTGTATTTTGGGGGGTCCAGCCAAGAGTCTCCCAGAAATGTTTTTTTGCTTTTTTGTTTTCCCAAGGTTTTTTAGCTTTTTGTTTTTTCTTATGTGTTTTTTATCCTTTACGCATATTTATCAGTGTTTTTTGGTTTTGATTGTGGCACTGATGCATTTACCTAATATTTATGAAAATTTATGGAAAACCAAAACCCAGGCCCCATGGCCACCCCTTCTGATAGGCTTATAGTCCTAATGGGGTCTCTTTGCACCTTGCATATTCAACGCAACGCCCCTTATCTGCAGTTGAGATGCAAGCCTTCATTGTTGAATGCCTGTTGGCCGGCATCCACCGGCCAA